GCTGCTCCCCAGCCCTGCGGCTCCTCTGGGCTCTCGCCCGGGAGTGCTCACAGATGCGTGACACAGCGAATTCACATTTGCTTTCCTGCTCTTCTGGACTCGCCCCAAGCTGCAAGCTCCCAGCTGCCTAACTCAGCACATCCAAAGAGATGCAAAGCGAGGAGGCATCCGCAGGAAGCTCCTTCCCAGCGTGGATCAGTCCAACACCCAGACAGCATCAAGCGCAGTCCCCACTAACCCCCTGCGCCGCCGACCCCAGCAGCAGGGCCACAAAGCCGTGGGCCAAGGCAGGTGGCTCCCAGCCTCAGCTCAGGGCTCGAGTCCAAAAGCCCACTATGAGAGAGAAGTCAGACGTCTCCCCAGGGCCAGGGTGCTCCTTACACATGGCCTTCTGTGCTGCTGACATCTAAAAAATACTGTGTAGGAATTTGTTTAGCTGCGGGCAACAGAGATCCCCAAGTGGGAGTCTGCACCTCCTTCGGGCACGGCCAGCCTGCGCCGGGCAGCACAAAGCATGGAAGGATACGATGGCAGATTATGCAGGAGTCAAACATTTTCCAGATATTATTTTCTCCCTGAACCACACCAAGTTTGTGTTTCTTCTCGAAAATAGGAACAGGTACATGAGCTGGACCGTTGCCTGCTCCCAGCACCAGACCTTCCTGCCCAGCCCCAGCCACGCTCAGGCACACGACACCCCGGGGAACACGGCTCCCAGATGGACAATCTGGAAAGCAGATGATCAGGAAGCGGTTTCTCGTTCTCTGCAACAACTTTAGCAGCTCCCATTTGAACATAATTAAACAGACATTTGAGAGGAAGAGCCCAAATTTTTCTCACGAGGGGAATCAGAACCAGCTGACTGCGCTGGCGCGGTGCGAGCCAGCACCTCTGTCTCCCTTTTGAACAGAAACAAGGCCCTGGGCAGCACTTACCAGCGTCCAAAGGACGTAGATTGTGAAAAGTGCTATAGTTAGTGCTATGAGTCCGATGGCCTCCAGGCGGCTGTTGAACTGCAGGTGATCCTGGGCGCCGCGCAGACACAGCCAGCCGGAGATCGCTGCCAGGGGAGTAATGAAGAGGAAACACACCATGTCGCAGAAAAGGGTCCTCTTCTCGTTGCGGGGACCGGGGTCCTTCAGCCACTGTGGGAAGGAAGGGAGGGAGGGCGTGAGGCAGCGGCGCGTTGGCGGGACAGGGCTGCTGCGCTGGGCAGCTCTCGTGCTCCCTGCAGGCTGTACGTACCCGGCGCGTACACGTAACGCGCAGAAACCGTCGCTAAAAACAGAGCCAGAGAGCGGATCTTTCTAAGGACCAACAAAGGAAAGGGAAGAGCACCTGAAGAACACGGGCAGGGGAGGAAAGTGGTAAATACGGGCACACTTGGGCTCTTTGCTGGAGCAGCAAGGAGCAGGCAGCAGTCAGAGGGAGGTCGCTTCTGCAAAGCCTGGGTTAATAAAGATCTGACGGGGTTGAGCTTCAATAGAAACAACCAGCACTCTGCTACAGGGGACTGGGGTGCTGGGGCCTGTGGTAAGGCCAAGCCATAGGGGCAGGTGTCCCAAATCCAGCCCTCTGGTTCCTTTCGGAGATCAGTGGCATTTTAGAGTTTTGCTCCCGACTAAAATTGAGTCTGAATTACCCGGATCCACCTGAGAGACTGTGCAGGGCAGCTCTGCAGGAGCACTCTCACGGGTACGAGTCTGTCCCTGGGGCCCGAGGAGCCACGGCAGCGCAGCTCAGCGGGGACCCCGGCCCCCAGCGAGTGCCAGCAGTGGGGAACACAGGCACCCACGCACCCGGCGTTTGCACTGAGATTATGACAGAGGAGAAAACAGCATATCACTTCAGGAACTAAAGAACCAAGACTGGATTAAAAAAAGTAGTAAAGAAAAAAAAAGAAAGTGAGTAACTCACAGAAAGCTTTGCACCTGGGCACACGAAGGACAGCAGCCAAGAGTGCTGGGCCGAGGAAGGTAACACAAACCCCTTCTCTTTTACAGAACAACCTGTTTTACAGAACAACCTGTGCCAGTGGATCGCAAGTGCCCATGAAGGGACGAGGCAGGACCCCGCAGCTGCTGACTCCACCTTCACAACTGCAAAATCCCCAAGGCCCTTCCCCTGCTGGCGGCGATCCGCAGGAGAGACCTGCCAGGACCGGGACACAGACGACGCCAGTGAAGTCCTTCCCAGTTTCAAGCTGGCTTTCTCGCCTCCCAGGCAGTGAGAGACCCATGGCAGCAGAGGTTACTGCCCTTTGCTCTCTGCAAAAGCTTTGCAAGCGCTTCTCTCTTGCAGCTCTCAGAAATCTGCAGAAGGAATGCAGCTCTGCTGCAGCCAGGTTTCCAACAACAGGCAGAGATCACTACTTTGAGGATTCCGAACGCGCCTCCACTGTGGGTTCATTTATATGCTTGACTTCAACAACAGCAATTGTTCTAGTTTTCCTGGGATTATGCTATTTTCAGCCTTTCCTTTCCTTTTTTTAGAATAGCAAGCAGCTGTAGTTCCTACTAATACCCAGAGTTTTTACTGGGAGTTCTATATGCCAGGCTGTCAGATCCTTCCCCCTTTCCTGCACAAGGACGACTGATCTCCTATTTAGGACTTCTTTGTTTATTTTCTCAGAAAAAAACCCTAAATAAAATAGAACAACATGATTGAAAGACACAGTCATAGCAGGGAGGGGAACATCCCCAAGGCAGTCCTACTACCAGGCACGAGTATATGCCCACCTTTGAACAGGCAGCATGAAAAGGGAGCTACGCATGCAAACCTCCTTCCCTAGAGGGGAAACCACAGTTTAAATAGCAACACAGAAAGGGTAGCGGCAGGTATGCAAGAAATAAGTGAGCACGCTGGTCAAAACCAAGCACGGGTAAGCTGAGGGCACGGCTGACCACAAAGATGTTGGCTCAGAAGGGCAGCACGGACGGGTGCACACGTGTCAGCGCAGGTTTAACTACGGAGAGTCTGCTGCGAGGGACGTCCAACGGGACGTAACAGAGGGGTGAGGACAGGAGGAGAGGTGCAGACAGCTTTTGTTGAAATGGGAAAGAGAAGGGGGAGATGGCAAATGCAGGCAAGGAGCAGCAACGTGGCCGGGGTGCTCAGAGGCACGGCAGCAGCGTGCTCTGCAGACGCCGCGATGGGACACGGAGCTGGCCAAGAATGGAGGAGAAGATGCTGCAGCAACAGGTAAGAGCCTGGCCAGGAATCTGAGCTGGGAGGACCGATAAGCAAGAATTTTAGAGATGTGACCTGAAGTATTTGAGAGATCCAAACAGAGCAAGAACACTTGGAGCTAGAGAGTAAGCTGGAAGCTGAAGAGCGCAGAGAGATCTGGGGACTGAGTAACACTCCTGCAGTAACAGAGGACAAGTTCGGAGCATTTTTAAAGCCATGCTGAGCACAACTTGATGTCCAGACAGCCAGAAGGACATT